CCTGTCACGAAATCTACACTTGACCTTGCGAAAGTGCTGCGCCTGCCACGCAATTCAAACCTTGCGAAACCTTCGCGCGGCCGTGCCAATGGTCCCGTCTCCGAGACCGTTCCGAACCCGTTCCGCACCCGCCTCCGTACAGGCGTCGCAGCCGAGGTGGTTTGCGCACTGTCCGGAAGCCCAATTCACGCACAGCGCCAACGTTTTCTGCATCTTGCCATCCCCCAGCTCGCAGAGAGTGCTTGCGAAAGTGCTGCGCCTGCCACGAAATCTATACTTGACCTTGCGAAAGTGCTGCGCTGCGCCTGTCACGAAATCTACACTTGACCTTGCGAAAGTGCTGCGCCTGCCACGCAATTCAAACCTTGCGAAACCTTCGCGCGGCCGTGCCAATGGTCCCGTCTCCGAGACCGTTCCGCCCGTTCCGCACCCGCCTCCGTACAGGCGTCGCAGCCGAGGTGGTTTGCGCACTGTCCGGAAGCCCAATTCACGCACAGCGCCAACGTTTTCTGCATCTTGCCATCCCCCAGCTCGCAGAGAGTGCTTGCGAAAGTGCTGCGCCTGCCACGAAATCTATACTTGACCTTGCGAAAGTGCTGCGCCTGCCACGAGGCGTAACCAATGGTCCCGTCTGACCGTTCCGAACCCGTTCCGCACCCGCCTCCGTACAGGCGTCGCAGCCGAGGTGGTTTGCGCACTGTCCGGAAGCCCAATTCACGCACAGCGCCAACGTTTTCTGCATCTTGCCATCCCCCAGCTCGCAGAGAGTGCTTGCGAAAGTGCTGCGCCTGCCACGAAATCGATACTTGAGAAAGCTATCTACGTGTTAAGCTGGCTATATGTCAAAGCTATCTATCTGTCATGCTAGCCTATTGGAAAGCTATCTATCTGTCAAGCTAGCTATATGTCAAAGCTATCTATTTGTCATGCTAGCTACCTGTCATAGCTATATGTCAAAGCAGCTAGCTCACTTAGTTCCAGTACTACGGAAGTTTCTTGTTAAACTTCCTTTGATTAATGTAATGTAGTGTAATGTAACGCATGTATGTATGAATGTTATGTATGTGTATATGTATGTATGTATGTATGTATGTATGCAATGTATGCAATGTATGCATGTAATGTATGTAATGTAATGTAATGTATGTCATGCATGTATGTATGTATGTATGTGTGTAATGTATGTATGTATGTATGTATGTATGTATGTATGTATGTATGTATGTATGTATGTATGTATGTATGTAATGTATGTAATGTATGTATGTATGTATGTATGTATGTATGTATGTATGTATGTATGTATGTATGTATGTATGTATGTATGTATGTATGTATGTATGTATGTATGTATGTATGTATGTATGTATGTATGTATGTATGTATGTATGTATGTATGTATGTAATGTATGTATGTATGTATGTATGTGCGTATTAATGTCATGTAATGTAATGTAATGTATGTAGGCATGTATGTATGTATGTGTGTGTAACGTAATGTAATGTATGTATGTATGTATGTATGTAATGTCATGTAATGTCACGTAATGTAATGTAACGTAGTTTAATGTAATGTAATGCTTCATCTCTGCGTGCTTGCTTGCCTACTTGCTTGTCTGTTAGCTTGCCTTCCTGTGTGACTGCTTGTCTGCTTGTCTTTCTGCTGCCTGGTGCCTGCCTGTTTTCTTGTTTGCTCGCTTGGGCGATGGCTTGTCCGCGTGCTTTCTTGCTTGCGCGTCTGTCTGCCGGCCTGCCGGCCTATTGGGGTATGACCCCTGGAGCCGCTTCAAGCGGAAACTGGCACAGCCGCCGGGCAAAGCGCGCGGCGGAGGAGGACGCAGAAATCAAGAGCGCGGCGTCGTACTTCAGGCGCCGCGCGAAGGGAGTGTTGTTCAGAGGTTGACTTTGGCTTGCTAGAAGAGGGGACAACAGAAGAGACAGTTTCATGCCCTGAGCACGCGATCCGACAGGATTGACCCGAGGATTTATCATTGCCGGGGTTGCGCGGAGATTGATCCGCGTACGCGTGTGCAGGGCTTGAAACCGTCTCTAATGTTCCCCTCTGTTCTGTACTTCGGGCTGTTTTCGGTTTCTGGGTTTTGCACGTTTGCGCCGGTTTGGATGATGCGGAGACGCGGGGACGAGGCATTCCTGTGTCTGTGATGCCGCTTTTTAGCACCAGGCAAGCAATCAAAATGCGGGCGCACGGACAGGCGCATAGGCAGGAGAGAAAAAAAGGCAAGCAGTCACACAGAGAGGCAAGTTAACAAACGGGCAGGCAGGCAGAGAGAGGCACAGAGAGGCACAGAGAGGCACAGAAAGGGAGGCAGGCAGCTAGGACCTAGGAAGACAAAAGGCCAGCCGGAGACGGCCCAAAATAGGGGAGGGGTCGTGCCCCGCCCGGAAGCACCGACAAAAATCAGCCAAACGGGCCACCCTTCTTGTGTTCTACGTGTGTGTGTGTATATGCATATGTACATGTATATGTTTGTGTGCATGTTCTGTGACGCGGGGTGCAACTCGAAATTTTCATGCTGGTGTATGTATGTAATGTAATGTAATGCAGTGCAACGCAACGTAATGTCACATAATGTAATGTAGTGTAGTGTAGTGTGTAGCCTAGTGCAGTGAAGTGTAGTGTAGTGTGTAGTGTAGTGTAGTGTAGCGCAGTGTGGTGTAGTGTAGTGTAGTGTAGTGTAGTGTAATTTATGTATGTGTGTACGTATGTGTGTAATGTGTGTATGTATGCATGTTTGCATGCATGTATGTATGCATGTATGTATGTATGTTAGTAATGTATGTATGTATGTAATGTGTGTATGTATGTATTGCAATGTATGCATGTATGTAATGTAATGGAATGTAATGTAATGTATGTAATGTATGTGTGTAATGTAATGTAATGTAATGTATGTATGTATGCATGTGTGTATGTATGTATGTAATGTAATGTAATGTAATGTAATGCAATGTATGTATGTATGTATATATGTATGTATGTGTGTAATGTATGCAGGCAGGCATGCATGCATGCATGTATGTATGTGTGTAATGTAATGTAATGTAATGTAATGTATGTACGTACGTACGGTCGTACGTATGTATGTATGTATGTATGTATGTATGTGTGTAATGTATGTATGTATGTATGTATGTATGTAGGTATGTAGGTATGTATGTATGATGACCACAATGATGACCACAATGATGACCACAATGATGATGATCAGGATGATGATGACGAGGATGATGATAAGGGTGATGACTGTGATGATAACTATCAGCGTAGCATCCTCTGCATTACCAATGCTGCCTCAGAAGAGATGATGAAGATCGTGAGTACAATGATGTTATAAGAAGGAAACAACAAAAGGAGGATGATGACCGCAATCATAATGATCAGGATGATGATGACGAGGATGATGATAAGGATGAGGACTGTGATGATAACTATCATCGTAGCACCATCTGCATTACCAATGCTGCTTAATAAGAAATGATGATGATGACCATGAGGATGATGATAAGGATGATGACTATGGTGATAAGGGTGATGACTGTGATGAGAACTATCATCGTAGCATCCTCTGCATTACTAATGCTGCCTCATAAGAGATGATGTCCCTTCCCGTGCGCCTCACCCTTGCGGACAAGGGGTCGGCGGATGTCGCTCCTGGAGCGCTGGCCAGGACGAGAGACTCGCAGTGGAGGAAGACAGAGTCTTCATCTTGCAGACGAGCCGTCCAGTCTTCCGATCGTCATGGTGGCTGTCGCGCCTGTCTTCCAAACGCCAAAAGCCTTTCAGAAACGGCTTCCCTCTCAAATACAACATCCACAAGACAGATGCCGAGAGTTACGTGAAGACGGTTGTTGACTCCAGATTTGCTGAGGACAAGTCCACAAGAACCGGAAGAGGGCGTCCCGCAATGCAAGATTGAAAAGATCTACCAAGATATCCTTTAGCCGACGCACAGAAGATCTGAAGTCACCGCTCGTGAGATCGCACCCTTGAAGCGTTTGGGCCTGACCGTGAACTGTCCTGCGGAAGATTTCTTTACGAAGATGACTGCGCGTCCATCGAGAAGCTCGGGAAGGAACAGCAATCGAGAAGCTCGGGAAGGAACAGCTCGGGAGTCACGAAGAGATCGATGTCACTTGCAGCGCAAGATGCGCGAGAACATGGGCGAAAACGAGCGTGACAAAGTTCTCAGCGATCGCAGGTGCGCGTTCCAGGGGCGGCCTCGTCCACAGCTCGCTTCAAGCGCGTCAATAATCTCACAGTTTGGGACTTGCAATGACGATTGGCAGCAATGCTCCTCAGCATAGTGACCAGGAGTGGACTAACAATGGTCCAGAATGTCGTCACTCGACAAGGCGCTACGACGCAAGCTTGCGCCTGTCCATTCTATCGTTAGTTCAATGTCATGGAATGAATGTGTCGATATTTTTTCTGAGTCGAACAGGTTTTGCGCCACGCTTTTGACAGCGCCAGCTGTCTCAACGCAGCAGATCTTGTCGTTGCAGAGCGTGGGCGGGGAGGGCAACGTTGTGCCATTTGGTCCGAGGCCCTTCTTTCACGCGTAGACGCATAGCGTGTAGAAGAGAAGACACCATTGCTGCGCGTGCTATGTTGGGGCACCCCGCTAGGACGTATCCTGTATCTCCTTAACCCCCATCGCCTGCAACCTCGACAGCGAACTGGGACATAGTGGCATCGCTTCGGCGCAACGAGTGCCCGCTCATGTGCGTGCTCGGTCTTGTATCCACGCCTACCAGGCGAAGCGTGTGCTAAAGGAAAATCCCCAAGCAGCGCCAGGTGACAATGCGCCCGCTCACGCAAGCCCGTTCAGCCCTGTGGCTATCGCTCACAAAGCACTTGGTCAAGGATGCCCGGCTTTGCGCGAGATGTCCAAGCGCCATTTCGAACCGAACGGAAAGAACAGAGGGGCGCAACAAGCGCAAGGCAGAAAGGTGTCAAAGGTTGCTTTGGCCTGCGCAAGGGCACAAGTCCTGCTGAAGAGCTCCTCGCTTCAACCTTGGATTTTTGGGCGACAGCCTTGCGGCAGCGAGGCTGCAGTCATTGGGGTTTCCGTGCTTTTCACGCGGGTGTTGCCCGTGAGAGATATTGGATAGTTTGCTTGTGCGTATGTCGGAACAGCGAAGGCAGTGCCGGCGAGAGGTTGAGGACGAAGGCGGTGAAGCGCTCAACAGGGCCAGTTTTTCTTCCCAGCGCCGATTGAGGTGATATGGAACCGCCTGAAGGTGAGCTGGCAGCCTTTGTAGGCGCAGGGTCCCCCAAACAGACGTGGGAGTTAGCGCGTGCTGAGGCGCGTCGCTCGGCGAATTCCAAGCTGGGTCGCTGACACTGCGCGTGGACCCAAGCGGACGGTGATCGTGCAAAAGCCGCAGCGGGTGCGCGCCGAGGCTTGAGCGTGGTGCGCTTGTGGAAGCACCTCTTCTCCCATTTTTCCCAGGCTTGGCGTAGCAAACTTGTGAGCTTGCTTTCGTCGTTGCAAGGAGCAGCTCTCGCTGTGTCAGATCGACGACGGCCTATGTGGGCAAGTCGTTCGAGCCATCCAGGCACATGTGTTGGTGGGGTAAAGGCAGAAGGCTTTGGTGCTAGCTTTCTTTTCCCTGCGCTTGTAAGCAGGATGCGTCGTGCGATGTCCGGTCGGAAAGACTGCGGCGTCCTGCGCCATTGACCTGGGATAATTCAGTTTTTTGTTGGCATTTGTTTTCATGTTTGCTGATGCTTGGTACCAGGCTGGCGACTTGTGCCTTGTTTGAGGTTGGAGCTTGCGGCCAGCCTTGCGCAAGACTCTGCAACCGGCGGCGGCAGAGAGGTGCGGCGCGCAAGGTGCAACCTTGACACAGCAGCGCTTGAAATTCTCAACGCCGACGTTTGATCTGTTGCTCCCCACTATGTGGATACGGGCTGTGTGGTGTTCTCAGTCGCTCCTTGGGCTCAGGGGGCTCATAGAAAATGTGTGTGTGTGTGTCTACCCTGCCCGCTCGTGCGCGGGATGAAGAAGTGCGTGTGGTCCGGCGGATCGGTGGCCGGGAAGGGGCAGCTCCTCAAAAATGGCTGACATAAATTTCCCGCGAGGGGGGCTTTCGGGAGAAGACGCGCGCGTGTCCACATTGCAAACGGTCGTTGGCGGAGCTGTGCAATGGTAGCAAGTCTGGGGTGCAAATTCAGGGGAGCGGGAACAACAGCAGTATGAAAATGCGCTGCTGTCTGGGCCAGCGTGTCAGCGCCTTAACTGCGCAGGTGTGTGCGTGTGTGCGCGTGCGTGCGTGCGTGCGTGCGTGCGTGCGTGCGTGCGTGCGTGCGTGCGTGCGGGCGCGCGTGCGTGCGTGCGTGCGTGCGTGCGGGCGTGCGTGCGTGCGCGCGCGCGCTGTAGCGCGTGCGGTGCGCGCGGAGCGTGCGGGCGTGCGGAGGCGTGCGTGGACCGTTTTTTTTGTGTGTGTGTGTGTGTTGGTGTGTGTGGTGTGTGTGTGTGTGGTGTGTTGTGAGTGTGTGTGTGTTTGTGTTTGTGTTTGTGTTTGTTGATTTGTGTTTGAGATTGTGTTTGTGTTTGTGTTTGTGTTTGTGTTTGTGTTTGTGTGTGTGTGTTTGTTTGTGTGTGCGCGCGTGTGTGAAACTGTTTGCGTGTGTGTGTGTTTTTGTGTTTGTGTGTGTTTGTGTGTGTTTGTGTGTGTGTGTGCGCGTGTGTGAACCTGTTTGCGTGTGTGCGTCCGCATGTGCGTGCGTGTGTCTGTGTGTGAGTGTGTGTCCGTGCGTGTGCTTGCATGCGTGCGTGTCTGCGTGCGTGTTTGTGTGTGGGTGTGTTTGTGTGTGCGTGTGCGTGGCGTGTGTGTGTTTGTTCGTTTGTGTGTTTGTTTGTTTGTTTGTGTGTGTGTGTTTACGCGCGTGTGGTCGTGTTTGTGTTTCCAGTGTTTGCGCGTGTGTGTGTGTGTGTTTCCTTTGTGCGTGTGCTTGTTTGCGTTTTTTTGTTTGCTTCTTTGTTTTTGTTTGTTTGTTTGTGTGTATGTGTGTGTGTCTGTGTGTGTGCGCGTGCGCGTTTGTGTTTGTGTGTGTGTTTGTGTGTGTGTGTGTGTTCGCGTGTGTCTCTTTGCGTTTTTTGCGTGTGTGTGTGTGTGGCTGTGTGGTTGTGTTTGTGTTTGTGTCTGTTTCTTTGTTTCGCATGTCTTGTCTTTGCGTTTGTGCTTGTTTTCGTGTTTGTGTGCATTTGTGTGCATTTGTGTGTGTGCATGTGTGTTTGTGTGCTTGCGTGCGTGCGTGTGTGTGTGTGTGTGTGTGTGCGTCTTTGTGTGCGTTTGTGTTTGTGTGTGTCTGTATTTGTGTTTGTGTGTGTGTGTGTGCGTGTGTGTGTGTGTGTGTGTGTGTTTGTGTGTGTGTTTGTGTGTGCTTGTGTGTGTTTGTGTGTGTTTGTGTGTGTGTTTGTGTGTGTTTGTGTGTGTGTGAGGTCCTCGCCTTCGTGCCCCTTTTTGGCGCACACATTTTGACGGCAATTTCGGTCCCAAGTTGCTCCCTTGCTCCCTTGACGTGTTGTTGATTGGCACTCACGTCGGCTCAAGACTCCAACAGCGCATCTCAAATAGCGTGGCGAAGGCAAGTGGCTTCTGAAGCCATACCACACTTCTTGCTGGGCAACGGGCGAAGACCTTTACTGGCCGCCAACAAACACCTTACCACCCTGAACTTGCGTTGGTTTGTATTACAATCAATTGTGTTGGTTCTGCCCCGAGGTGCACCCTGCTAATCGTATCCAAGTGCCTTACACTCTGTTGCGAGCGCAAGGAAGAAAATTGCGAGGAGCGCCGCCGTTGAAGGGGACGGCAGGCGCTTCTAGAGCTGGCTTCACAGACTGCACACATGGTCAACCAAAAGCTCCTGGAAGCACGCGCGAAATCTTGCGAACCAACAAGTAAGGACCAAGCAAAGGGGACCCGCGACGGAGAACAGGAAAGAAAGAAACCGCTCTCAGAGACTCAAGCAGAGCGCGTTGTGAGGCAATGTACCGACGGAAGCCTGCAAGACAGACGATTTGGAAACTTGAGAGAGACAGAGAGAGAGAGAGAGAGAGATCGAGGAGCTGCGAACCTCGATGAATGGAATCGGTGTGAAAGCCACAATCGTCCCGTTTGATGTCGCGCCAGCCTCATACTCAAAGAGAGCGTCAAGTTCTCGGAACGTCGTAGCAACATGATGGTCGCCCATGGCGATCGCCAGTCAATCAGACCTCCCCACATCGAACACCAGTCCACGGCCGACAATCCCCCTCACATGTTGGAATGCTGCGTCGAGCACGTCTCCGATGTTTGGGGTGGCTCGGTTGCAAAGCGCTTGAGGCATTGGTCCTTCTCCTCTCCTGCCCAGAATTTGATATTGCTTTCGCCTCGCACTGCGCCGTTGTTCGGCGACAAGTGAAGGAGATACGTCAGTGTCGTTCCGAATGTCATCGGTGTCACGTTGGCGCCCTCAATCCGGCGTAGTGACACATGCTTCACTGCATACACATGGTCATCTGCAAAGGACCGCCGTTGACCCGATTCGGGCAGTGGAACACGGTTGTGGGATCACGCACGGCATTAACCCACCGACACTTTCCAGGAGGATTGAATTTCCCAGCGATACCTGTGCATCATGCGCAGATGTGTGATGAGCTCGACACAGATTCTTCCTGGCCGCTCTTCGACCCGGAAGGAAACGATCTCGCGTTGTAAACGTAAGGAGGTCGTGTTACAAAACAGTAGAGAATGAGATCTGCGCTGGATTCGAGAACGCCAAGAACTACGACGAAGTGGCGTACTTTCGAACTTACACTTTCGCCAACACAAGGATGACGGTCTCATGCCGGCCGGAGACACCATCTTTGCCTTGTTGGCCTTGCCAATAACTGCAAGCGCGTCACGTTCCCCCGCAAAAAAACGTCGGGTCTGTCATGTGTGCACGGCAGCCCAGAGATGTGGACGCGCCGCATGAGGAAGCAAAGCCACTTCCACCCGCTTGCAGGCCCCACTGGTCAAGAAATCAACATGGCCACAAGGTCGCCCACTTTTGTCACACTTTTGTTGGAGTCTTGAGCCAGTGCTGCAGCCAGAGGTTCATTGCGCGGCTGCAACTTTCAAACTATCAGTCTGAAGCCATACCACGCTTCTTGTTGGGCCATGGGTGAAGACCTTTACTTTTTCTGGCCCACAGAAACTTTTCCACCCTGATCTTGCAGTGGTTGGTACAATCATCAGTGCTGGTTCCCATACAGAGCAGAGACGGGATATCGTGTGTGTGTCGGCGTGTCTGCGTCTGTGTGTCCGCGCCTGTGGTGCGTGTGTCTGAGTCTCTCTGCGTCGCGCGCGCGCGGGTGCGCGCGTGCCGAGTGGGCGGGGGTGCGTGTCGGTGTGTGTGCTGGGGCAAGGCAACGCTTGCTGCATGCCTGATTCAGTGTCAGCGCAGCATCCTGCCAGCTTAATCGCCTGTCCACGCAGGCTTTGGTTACGATCAGATGGCGACGAAGATTGATGTTACAGCAGCGCACAAACTTTCAACGGAAATCAACATCACTTGCGTTTTGAGACCGGGAGATGCTGGGCGCAACAGTCAGTTCTTTTTCAGGGCGGCTTCCGAGAATGCATGAGAGTGAAAAAATAGCTGGCAGTTGCAGGAGTCGTAGTGCAGCTGAAACAAGTGCAAATTTTCTGGGTCTGCGGCCTCTAGCGAACTACGCCTCTTTGAAGTTATGCCATGTCATGTCATGTTTTTTGTATGAGAAACGTGTTGCATGTTGCCCACCCCACCCCAGATGATGCCGGGGATGCCAGCTTTGGCTGACATGGGGTCGCGCGCGCGCGCGCCAGAGGCCCCAGAAAGAGCAGCCCAAAAAGAGCAGCCCGCAAGCCAGCCCGGAAACGCAAATGCAACAAAACACCGTAAATAGCAGCCTTTTGTGGCTGGGCGCGCGCGCGCCAGAAGGCCCGAAAACCAACGGGAAAAAAACAAGACAGAGCCCACGAACCCGAATGCGCATCACTTTGCGCAAGCTCAAAACCTGTACTTCGCGTACTGGTCTTGTACAACAAAGTCCCGATTTTCCAGCTGGAGCTGGAAACCGGTACTTTGCGTACTAGACTTGTCAAAGTTACGATTTGCCAGCTAGAGCTGGAAACCTGTACTTCGTGCGCTAGGCTTGTACTACAAGGTTGTGATTTCCAGCAGGAGCTGGACTTCGCGTAGCTGTTTTCGCGTACTAGACTTGTTCTACAAAGTCGTAACTTTCCAGCTGGAGCTGGAAGCCTGTACTTCGCGCCTTAGACTGGTACTACAAAGTTGCGATTTCAAGCTGGAGCTCGAAACCTGTACTTCGTGCGCTAGACTTGCGCTTCAAAGTTGTGATTTT